GCAAAATATATATATAAAACCTGTAGCAGCGAATCTCAGAGCCTAGGTTAATGGACTCAGGCTCACGCTGGGAGGCTAAAACTAGCTGAGTAGACGTTCCTGTCCATGTTCCAGCCCAAGCAGGAATGCCTACATTACTATTTTTAGCCCTGGAGCACAAGCCCAACTCAGCTCACCTGGGCTCTGAGACTCACTGCATCAGGTTTTTTATACATATATATTTTTGCAGTGTAGATGTAACTGCAGTTCTTCTTTGAGTGATGGTCCCACAGATAGGGACCACAATCTCAAAGAACCTCCAGTTACAGGTAAGTAACCTCCTCTTCCTGTTGGGCAGTGGTCAGCTGGGCACTCAGCTTTCAGCTCTTATTTTCTCTGCTTCTTCCATTCCTATCCAGTAGATGGCATCAGTCTACAAGAAATTTCTTCAATCCTTTACTTTTCGGAGGCTTTTTATATTTGATTGACTTCCAAAATTGTATTTAAAATTTACCTAGACTATTAATTCAAATATCCCCATTTTTAAGTAAATTCTTCTGTTTTTCTAAAGTTTTATATCCAGATTAGGTGCTTATATCTTTTAGTATTCTTTAATCTTCTGGTGTGTTAAAATTCCTATCGCTTCTATAGTGCAACAATAATTTAGAGAGAACAAGCAAACGTCCCCTATAGTTCCTAGATGGTACGTTCTCTGATTATATCTATTATATCTCATTTCACATCTTTTAGGGCATACCATAGGCTGAGACATTACGTTGGAGGAATAAGACAGATTGTTCACTTAGAGAGACAGATCTGATTCATTAGACAGACAAATGTACAGTTTCTAATTTCAGGTGAAATATATATTTGGCTGCTTGGGATAACAGGAAGTTGGACCTCTGGAATATTCAGCTTTTTGGGTTATCCAGCAAACTATTTCTAACTGGTCTGAACTTACATTTTCTACTCCTCTCTAGTCCTTGGCTAACATATAGGAGACAGTAGAGCACTTGGCACAGGGGGGGAAAAGGGGTAGTTATTCTGATCTGTCTCCTGGCTAGGGATTCTCTGTCAATAGACCAAGAAAGATAGAAGTTTCATCCACATGTAAATTATGGGAGTGTCTGGTTTGAGGGACTAACAGTAGTGATAAGACTCCTTCTCAAGCGTCTGAGCTTGCCTTTCCTGGAAATAGTGTACTTCAACTTCAATTTAGTTGATGCTTCAGGACAAGATTTCTCACATGTTGAGATGGGCATGTTGATTCTCATCCTCCCCAAGAGGAAGCTAAAGATTTTGAATATACCATTGTGTGATCAATGTCAATCTTTCTTGTTGCAGAGAGTTTAAAGGGCAGAGAGACGACTGTAGCTGTTCATAGATCTTCAAGGCATATTTGATACCTGTATTAATTACAGTTCCCAAGGTAGGATTTCATGTGTGTGGAAGGTAATCAGAGTTGTGAACCTTGCCACTAGTTAAAGAGCCCTAATCAAGTTTTAGGCAACTGTTGGGTCTCAAATATCTGGTGAAAAGTGTCCTATTAGATGGATTTCACTAGTACTTGTTGAATAATATATTCAACCTGCTGCAGAGCTGGTAAAATGCTGTAAGAAACTATTGAATAAGTGTTGAATAAACTCTATGAAAAATCACAAGATTCACTGGATAAGACACTCATTAAATATTATTACACCTGTCTGGTATCACCACCAAACATGGACCAATGAGCCAGGTAAATTTGGCTCATACATTTCTGCACAGATACTTTTCTGCCCTTTTTGTTTTTCTAGTAATAGCTCCTTCCACTGGTCGTAACCCCAATTAGGACACAGTGAACTAATGACACAGCTGAAAACTAAGTTTAGGCATTGCTGCAGAAACTTACTAACAAAGAATATAGTTTAGAAACCTTGTTGGAAGGTCGGCCTCTGAGAAGCGGGAAACCTATTATCCCATTGTCTGCCTTTGCGTGGCTACCAGAATGGATGCAGGCATTCCAGCCTCAACTGATGGATCTGAGTTCTAGTAGGGTTAATCATGTAAAAGTAAAAATATTTACTGGGTGGCAGACTCTGATGCGAGAAGAATAGACAAAGGTGTAGAGAAGCTGTATTTAGAGAGAAGGGACTATATCTATATCCACTTTGTGAGCTAATTAGCAATCTTGTCTTAGGGAAGCTGACAAGCAAAGGAACTGTATTCACTACAGAATTAAACTAGAGTGGTGATGCATGTCTGCTAAAAGGGTAGTTGTCACTAATCAGCACCTTGAGGCTTTGTGGGTGAGGTTAAGTGGAGTAGGGCACAGGATACTATGAAGATATTACATGTAGCATTCAGCAAGAGCAATCTAAAAGAAAATGCAGAGATAAAGATTGATAAAAGAAATGAAAAAGCATTCAGTAGGAAATATGCCTAAATGGTGTCTGCAAATGAAAACTGCAAATCTAGTATTGATCTTGTTTGAGTGAGTGTAACACAAACCAAAAATAATAGTGTCCCCTTAGTTTACTAATACTCTCTCAAATAGACCTCATTCATGAAATCGTCTGAGTAAAAATCCACCATCAAACTATAAAGCTTCAAATAGAATATCCATGAGGGAATTGAGAAATTTATTTTGAAAAAATGAGCAATGCTTGAAGGAGACAACAGACAAGCATAGTATCAAATTACATTAAAAAAATACATGAAGAGAAATGTTAATATTGCATGATTAAGTACTCAAAAGTCAGGAAATGCTGGAGCTAAGATTGCATGAGCCCTTAAGGTACAATCTATAACTAGATGATCACATAAATTTCTCAAATAATACAAAATATTATTCATATTTTATATGCCTTTGATACAAATGACTAATATCTTTTGCTATTACTATTACTCTGTTATGCCAGATAGGGACAATAAAAGACATTTATGTATAAGGTGCACAGTGAATGAGGCTGAGTTTTTCACTCTACAAATTTATAAGATGCAGTTTTTTCCTACAACCGTATACAGAGCATGATCCTGTGTGTAATGTGAAATATTATGTGATCATGCAATTAAAGACTGTATTTCAATGCCATATGCACAAGAAGGTAGAATAAGTTACATTTCTTGACTTTTAAGTGCTTATCTCTGCAGAATTAATATCTCATAGTTAATTTTTAATAGAATATTTATAGAATAAGTAATTTGGAAAGGGAAAAAAACTGCATAATTCCAGATTGGCGGTATACTGCTAGTGCAGTTTCCCGTGAGGCCAGGTCTCCTTTAGAGTCATTGTTTAAAAAAGATTGTTTAAAAACATTGCTGTGCATGTCTGAAGTTTGCATTTTTTCTAATTCTGTCAAATCTCAGCCAGTTTTCACTAGAGTGCTTAGTAACCACTGACAAAGTGGTTGCCCTGCGAAAACATCAGTTTTCTACCTACAGTCATTTCATATGCAGAGCTGTCCAAAAAAGGGTTGCAAGAATTTGTTTGTTGAGGAACAATTTTGTTCGCTCTCCTTATAGTCTGTAACAGCTCAAAAGTTGTCTCAAACTTATGGAGAAACTAGACACAGAAAATTTCAGCCCAGTCAGTGAAACTTAAGGAAATATTTAAATAACTGAAAATAGTGGGTTATAATGGAAATATATAAGCAACTGAAAATATAGACATTGCTAGCAGTTTACCTATCGTAGGGGGGTAGTCCAACAAGGGGAACCAATTGTCATGGTTCAGGGATAGCTGCACTTTCAGCCTCTCAGTATCTCTGAGTACAACCCTGCAGGTGATAGACCTCTTGCCTTCATCTCTCTGGGATAATTGTGCGCTTCCTCCCTGACTGTCAGACTGGGTCCTGGGCTGTAGCACCCTGTGAACTGACTGACTTCCTTAGCAGACCCGACTGGGTTAGAGCCCTGCCAATTTTCTCTTCAGGAGCTGTGAGCTTTTCAAAACAAAGTATTCAGTCTCAATAGCCAGAACAGAGCATTGGGCTGACCTAAAGCTTAGGTAGATTTGGCTTATCCAGACACCCCCCAGATCTGGGAACTGAGGCTCAGTCTGCTTCCCCACTGTCCCTGAGTCTCTGTCCCTGTCTTCAGGGGCAGACCTTTCATCAGTCCCAAATCTCTGTGTCTCCCTGCCTCTACGGAACTTGGCCAAACCAATTTATTCGGTTGGCAGAGAAAGAGTTCCAAGCAGTTGATTCTCTGTTGTCCATTAATTATTGGTAAATGGGTGTCTATCAGAAGTTTCTCCACACTCTTATCTGTGTGCATGCTAACCCATGTGTAACCCTTAGCAATAAATAAATCTGAATAAGCTTGCATTAACTGTTAGTAATCGTATAGCAAATGCTATAACAATCAAACACAGATATATATAATATTCATAAAATATTTCAGACATCTTCCATCTCCTCATCAGTAACAACCTTCATTCAAAAGTTCCTCTGTCCTTTTGTATGCCATACTGATCAGAACAGTGGTCCATCTATCCACATATCTTGATTCCAGTCCTCTGTTATAGTTGATTGTAATGACCGTGTGTCTTTGTTGGCAGTACAGTTACTTCATGCTTTTGTAGAGTCTCGAGGCCTTGGGTGTAACAAGCCTTGTAATCTGATTAGTAAATTCTGCCTGATTTTAACAGTATGGAAATGAGTAGCACTTCAGACCAATGGCTCTTGGTCCCTCAGTCATGGGGAAACCAGTTTCCAGGTACAAGACTTACCTTGTAATTGTATAGGCTGTTTGTTTTTGTTGCTTGGTGCCTTTTTGGCACAGACATATGTACCTCTGTGTGCTATGCACAAGTCTCTTTGCATAGTTGCATTTCCTGGTAGCTCACTTCTTTTATAATAAACTTACTTCCCCTTTTCTGGATTGTAACCTCTCCAGATTTTTGTGGTTGGGTTGGATCTGCTGCATCCTATCTGAATATTATTACCAGATCAGTGAAAAATTAAACAAATCTCATTGAGACTGAGTATTAGAAGACATGTATAATGACAGATTAAAGATGCTGGTATCTTTTTCTGTAGATGCCTGTGGAGGGGGTACAGGAGCAGCAGGCAGAATCTACCAAAGGGCGGTGCCTGCGACGTACAGTAAGTGTCCCATCTGAGGGTCAGTTTCCTGAATATCCACCAGAGGGAGCCACTAAGCTTGGTAAGTTACAAAATTAGAAAAGCAATGTACTAATTTTAATTTATAGATGTATTATTTCTCTGTTTTAAAGAAACTGTTTTCTATCCAGCATTGCCGTAGTCAGTTTGCTCAAATCAATAGCATTTCAGCTAAGAGTTAGCAGAGGTCATAGGAGAGTGACCGTTGTTTATAATTGCCTGACAACAAAGTGACTTCAGTGTGTTAGGATTTATCTGAACATCAGTGAGGATACTGGGAGGGAATACTGCACAGCAGGGAGGCTTATAACTGCATTTGTGAGGATACTAAGCAGCTCTGGGATTTATAACTGTGAATCTGTGAGCCCAGGTCAATAGTGCTGCATGCTTTACAGACCGTTTTAAGTGGCTCTTCCTGGCTGTTTGTTTGAGCTGTTACTTGGTTATGATTTACCTTATTTAAGCCTTTTAGAAGCTCCTTGGCATTGTATTTTAGTGACTATTGGGCTACACCTAATCTCCAGACCTGATTACACACTATCAGAAATACTGTCCATTTGAAGGTACAGCTTCCCAAATAAACCAACGAGTTGTGAGCAAGGGGCTGTGCCAGTGTTGGTTATAATCATAGTTTTTGAAAAATGAATCAAAGGAGACAGAAATGGAGGGCTCTAAGGAAAACTTAAAAATAGAAGACCAGTTGTGATGATAGGGTTTCCACAATGCCACATTTTGGCCCAGTTCCCCATGTTCTCTCTCTCCTCTTCGGTCAGCCGGGAGCGGTCTCCGCGCAGGGAGGGATAGTAGAAGGAGGCAGCAATAGTGCAAAGTGAATTCTTGTTTCTATCTGCAACTAGTGATGGAGTATGACTTGGCAATAGGCTGTCACTTGTTGCTGGGGCTAGGAACAATTCTGCTTTTGCCTAGCTGTAAAGTTGCAATTCTAGAAGAGAGTTAGCTGCAAGAAAAGGCTGCAGGTACATCTCTAAGCAGCAGACTAGGTAGGATAGTGACTTTATGTAAATATGAAGAGTACATAAAAGAAGGGTTTTAATTTCACAAGTGTGTTCACTTTAAAAAAAATTAGTCTATAATTACGTGGATAATAAAATGCTCAAAAATAGATATTTTTTCGTGGGTATAGATGCAGTATAGCAATCTATTGTAGATTGCTAAATAGCAGTTTCAGAAGCTGTTAAGCTTGTATTTGTGAAGCACTCTACCTCACATTTTCTTCTTGAAAGCAAATTTCCTGATGGGAGGGGGTTTGAGCTTTTTCTCGGTCTTGCATTAGGGGTTTGGAAAGAGAAATGCAATTTAGAAAATGAAAAGGGAAGATGCCAATGTGTAGGAATAGGAATAATACAAATGTGGTTTCTAGACACTTATTTCCAGATAATGGAAATTACACACAATTTGTTGCAAGTCAGAAGAGTTTAGAAGTCTTCAGGAATGAGACTCCTAGTCTTTTTTCTTATAATAATAATAGTAATAATAATAATAATAAAGTTTAAAGAAAGTTATACCTGACCGTTAAGCACCTGAAAGTCTGGGAATGCCAAAATTAAGATTGCAATGCAAATTTCACTCTGTTTCTTTGTATGCACGTGTTTACAATACAGATTGTAATTCTATGATCACATACTCAAATAATAGTATATATTTTTCCCTACAACCTTAGATGCACATGTAGCATCTTGTGCCAGACAAGAGTCCATTAAAAGTACATAGGAAAAGTACACAATAACCCATAGTCAGACCATATTTTACATATTTTGTATACAACTATCATGAAAATTTTGCTGGACCATATAGGCCACCTAATTTAGTAGCTAAAGAGGTGTGGGCACACAGAGCGGGAGGGGAGGAGGAAAGACATGCAGAAGAAGATCATGAATGAAGGGCAGAGATGATGGACAAGTAGGAAGGTTTTAATGTCTGATCACTCTGTAGTAGATCAGGTTCCTTTTGTTTACTTTTCACATGCTGACTAGAGACATAGAATCATAGATATCAGGGTTGGAAGGGACCTCAGGAGGTCATCTAGTCCAACCCCTGCTCAAAGCAGGAACAATCCCCAATTAAATCATCCCAGCCAGGGCTTTGTCAAGCCTCACCTTAAAAACTTCTAAGGAAGAAGATTCCACCACCTCCCTAGGTAACGCATTCCAGTTTTTCACCAACCTCGTAGTGAAAAAGGTTTTCCTAATATCCAATCTAAATCTCCCCCACCGCAACTTGAGACCATTACTCCTTGTTCTGTCATCTGCTACCACTGAGAACAGTCTAGAGCCATCCTCTTTGGAACCCCCTTTCAAGTAGTTGAAAGCAGCTATCAAATCCCCCCTCATTCTTCTCTTCTGCAGACTAAACAATCCCAGTTCCCTCAGCCTCTCCTCATAAGTCATGTGTTCCAGTCCCCTAATCATTTTTGTTGCCCTCCGCTGGACTCTTTCCAATTATTCCACATCCTTCTTGTAGTGTGGGGCCCCAAACTGGACACACTACTCCAGATGAGGCCTCACCAGTGTCGAATAGAGGGAAACGATCACGTCCCTCGATCTGCTGGCAATGCCCCTACTTATACATCCCAAAATGCCATTGGCCTTCTTGGCAACAAGGGCACACTGTTGACTCATATCCAGCTTCTTGTCCACTGTAACCCCTAGGTCCTTTTCTGCTGCTGAGCCATTCGTTGGAAAAAAATGCTGAGGATAATGTGCATTTACTGTTGTGTCTATTAAGGTAGATTTTTTTAAAAAAAATTTAATAGGAAAAATCCTCTTCCTGTTTCTATTTTAAAGAAACTATTTACTACAATGTGGTTAATTCCCTCTATGCAGTGTTATACGTACCACTAAGAGCATCTGAAAATATATACATCAAATACACCAGTTATTTTCTCTAGTGATAGTTTTTGTAAGGCACAAATATGCACTCTACGAAGCTTATTTTTCTTGACTACTATAAAGGTGCTTGTTGATCATTCTAAATTCCTTCTCCAATGCAGAAAAGGCACAGCTGGTCTGCCTGATGATCATGCAGGCTTCATGATTTAGATATGTATCCAGGTGTCCAATTGTTCATAAGAAAAAGAATTTGAACTCTCATTATGAAGGCACATGGTAGCAACCTCACAGGCATGGTGGCATAGTAAAGTGGGTTGAAAATGAGTTACAAAGTCTCCTTTTGTTTCTGAAAGTAGTGGGCAGTATTAAATTTCAGACTGGGCAGATTCCTCAGCTCTCGTCCCCTAATGCCCCTACTCTACTTGCCTACTGGATGACATCTTCATCATCTGGATCCATGGAAAAGAAGCCCTTGAGACATGGTTTATCAGTCATCACAAAATCCCTCCTGATTGAAGAAGCTGGGGTGGTGTAGAGAGAACGGTGAGAAATATATTTTTATGAACAAGACAGTGAGCCAGAGGGCAAACCAATGAAGTAAACCACTTGGAATCATTGTAAAGAAAAGGAAACAGATGGCAGTGGGCAGAGTGTATCACCAGCAGTACAGATAACAACTGGACCGAAATAGTCTTTGAATTGACACGAAAGCTGTAAAGCACAATGGGGCAGATAAACTATCCAGCAATGAAATTGCTGTGCAGAGCAGATAAGAGTATCTCGCTTGTCCTAAGGAAGTATGTGCTTGACATGGGAACAACAGACATTATAGCTTGAGAGTGTCTGAAGTTACTATCCAGAGATGAGTTTTTACAGCTGGATCTATTATGAGGGTTAATGGATGGCAATGGTATTTGCTTTTTTCCTGTACGTAAGGTTACTGTACATGCTTGACTATCAAAAATGAGAGAATCATTATGTAATCAGTTAACTGCAGTGCTACAATTATGCTTTTATAGAGTACATCAAGGTATTATACTGAACCAACCTTTAATTGACTTTAGCAATTGACGAAACATTATGCCATATCATTATATGATGAGATAATACATATGCTTTGGGCTCAGTTCATGACTAGTAATAATACTAATTCTTAGGATTCATGCCGCTGTCTGTGATCAGAACACTGTGCAAAGATCCTAACACCAATCCTATGAAGTATGTAACTATATATTATCCATGCTATCAATAAGAAACTGAAGCCCAGGGCAGATCTGTTGCAGGCACAAAGATAACACACAAGAAGGTGGGCATCTTGATTATTTTGAAAAGAACAAAAACAATAATCAATGGATTGGTCAAAATTAAGGCTATGTTTTAGTCACAGGTATTTTTAGTAAATGTCATGGACAGGTCACAAGCCATGAATTTTTGTTTACTACCTGTGACCTGTCCATCACTTGTACTGTATAGCCTCCTAAATGTTTGTGGGGGAGGGGGCGGCCCGGGGGTGCTGTGGGTGCTCAAGTGTGGCTGGCAGCCCGGGACCCCCGCTGGTGCTGGGGGGGAGGAGTCGGTGGGGCTGGCAGGCTCCCTACCCTAATCCAGCTACGTATGGCCCCCTGGAAGCGGCAATATGTGTCCCTCCCTCATCTCCTAGGTGGTCCACACGCTGCCTCTGCACCAAGCACTGGCTCCGCAGCTCTCATTGGCCCCAGTTCCTGGCCAATGGGAGCTGCGGGGGCAGTGCCTGCAGCCTCTGCCTAGGAGCTGAGGGAGGGACATGTTGCCACTTCCAGGGAGCCCCCCAAGTGCCACCCAGAGCCCTCACCCCTTCCCGCACCCCAAACCCCAGCCCTGAGCCCCCTCCCATACCCAAAGTCCTGCTGCTGCTGGGGATGGTGGTGCGGTGGCCAGAGACTGCCCGAGCAGCGGCTGGTCCAGGGGCTGCCTGAGCTGCTCGGGTGGCCCCCGGGCCAGCCGTACCAGCTGCTGCAGAAGTCCCGGAAAGTCACAGAATCCTTGACCTCCGTGACAAACTTGCAGCCTTAGTCATAATGCATAGAAGAAGTCTGTTGTGTGTAAAAAGCTTCACCTTCTGGCTCATCCTAAATATTAAAGGAATATCTATTGAAAGGAAAGCTACCCGGTTTATGAAGAGGCTGCACATGGTTATTCTATGTACCTGTTTTAC